CTTAGCATTACAAACATCAGCCTTCTAGCATTACACAGAGTGTGCTAGATACAGTGCCAACATGCAGAGAGGAACAGCACCTGAATCACAGTACTCACAACCTAGGATAAACCGATAGTAAGCCACTAGGTAGAACATAACAGTTAGGGGATCAACATAGTTGTAACATAGTCACTACAGCCTATTCCTAGATGTCCTTCAGTTCTGCCACTGTCTTGTGGCTTCTCTCTACCTTACAACACCAGAACACAGGAAAGAAGTGAATGGCTTTGCAGGTCAGCTATAATAATATGCTGCTTTTAACACGGAGATAATTGTGAGGAAAAAAAAAGCTTTTATGAGTGGAATAAATCTAACTATTTACCTGGAGTAACTGTCTTTAATAACTTCCTCTATCCTTTATTTAATCACTTGTTTTCTCTATTAGAAATAGCTATAATGCTGACAGGGTCTTTTACAAATTATACAATTCTATCATTCAACAGGAACACGCTCTGTACTAACAGCACTCCCTACTATGTCTGTGTACAAAGCAATTTTGTTGAATATAGTACTCTGAAAAGAGCAGGACAGCGCCATTTTCAAATTTTCTAATTTCATGATGTTGGATATAGAAAGCAAATGGTAGATATTAAAAGCAGTAGATCTAGTCTTCTAAATTTGTAATGGATTATCGTAATGAAGCTTTCGCTGTCTTAATTTAAAAAACATTTTATTTCTAAAGTATTTATTAGGATAATTAATTATAAATTATAGGGTGTGCACATGTATGTGTATGCATCTCATAGGGTAGAGGTCTAGAAAATTTTAAGTACTGTGAAGAAGGCTGGCAGGGGTGTAGGAGGAATAAAGTGAAGCTAGTTACACCTTTATTTTGTAGAATCTCAACTTTCCGTTAAAAAAGACTTTAATTTTCACAGTTCTGAAACTTCAAACTGTGAATAAAGTATCATAGATATGATGTCTTCAGAGACAACAGCTCTAGAAACACTTAAACCTCCTTTCCCAGCCACCTGACTGAAGCATTACCAGTAAAACCTAATGTTGATACTGTTCCATAATTGCTCACTGAAGCATGGTATCAGGTTGGAGTGAAGAGCACACTGGAGAGGGGAATTGGGCAGCATCAGCGTTACTGTCAGGTAAGATACTTGTTACTGAAAACACAAGGAACCAGCACACAGAAGATGGCAAAGAGAAGACAGAAGGAAGAGTGAAAAAAGAATGTAAACAGTGGTAGTCCTGAACACCCCACCGACATTTTCTCAATAAAGGACACAATGAAGTCCTGAATAAATCAAAGATGGTGATAAGCAAAGGCCAGTTATTACAAAAATGCTGTACCCTGTATGCTAGGCCTTGGGCAAGTTTTGCTATGGGAGTGCCAAATACAGAATGCAGTATTCTTCATGTATATCCCAGCTGACAGACCACATGCAAAACAGAACCCAAACCTCCGAATGCATTGATAGATGCACTGACCATCTTCTATCAAAAAAAGAAGGGAAATGCTGCCATAGTATAGGAGTGTTGAAAAATACTACCCCATTGAGACATGGTTTTTACAAGATAAGCTACACTAAAATATCTGAGCTCCTTCCACATAAAATCACACATCAGCTGAGGTCCTGCCTGTAGATTTTACCCTCTTTCCAATGTGTAGGACTGGGCTGCTGAGTTCATACCTCAGCCTACTACAGACAAAAACATCATACAGCAGCTTCACACACTCTATCTCAAGCTTTGGAACAGAACACTTGACTCCCAGGTCACCACAGAAGACTGCAAAACAATTCCTGAAGTACAATATCTGAATATATACAATTTTAATACAGAATGTCCATTTTTTTGGGTGACTCATTTTTTGATGGGCTTAAAGCAACCTGGTTTGATCAAAGTTAGTTTTTGGATTAAGTAGAAATGAGAAATACCAGTTCCAAGAATATTACTTTAAAATAAGGAAGCTAGATGGGACTTCTAAAAGTAAATTCAGATATGTAGGGCTAACAACACAGTAGTGTATAAGGTATGCTCTTATTAGCCCTTATTTGGCATGATTTCTGAATTCCAAGATCATGTTGAGTATGATCCCTTACTTGTGATAATAATATTACTTAGTAAATGATACTAATGAAAAGTCTGCTCCCTGTTAAAAAAAAAATTAAGCACACTTACTGTAAAAAGCACATTAGGCAACTTTTCTGCAGTGTCTTCATGTTGTTACTGAAGGAAAACACTGCGATATATAGTCAAACTCATACATTTGCATTTTTGTGGAAGAGGAACAAAGCAAGTAATCTTGTTACATAAAGTCAACCTCCGAGTGCTTTGACAATGAATACTGAGTCAATCTTCCCATTAAGTCAGGGTGTATACGACAAATGTGCTCTACTTGAAACGCAAAATTTAATTCCAGCAGGATCACTTCAGGGACCAGTTCTGCAAAGTACAGCAGCCATGGCACAGCCCACAGTCGCAGCGTAAGTAGCTACACACTACTGTTAAATACATTTTAAACTCTATTGTACAATAGCCTTTGTCTCAGTAAAGCTATTTTAACCACAGACCATGTTTGTTCGAGCAAGTTTTTCTACCTGTTTTTCTACTGAACATGAGCAAACCATTCAGTGACTAATTTACTTGGTACATTTTCATTTGTTGTCATTCATAAATAATTTATAGTTTTAGCAGACATATTGCTTTCGCTTTCATATATGTTTTGTTTCTTTTTAAAGAGTTCTTTGCAAATTGTTCATTAGGCCACGCTCAAAAAAAAATCCTTCAATTTTTCCACTGTGGACTTTTAATTTTATTGGGGATCAGTAAGTGCAGTGTTGGTGGTTTGACAGAGTAACTAGACTATGACTTGTAACTACAAATCACTTAACTATCAGTTCCTCTGCGTTCAAGCAAAGCCACAAAGTATAGTTTCTCTCTGGTTAAGAGATCTGGGAATATAGAAGGTGGTGAGAAGAATTTCTGAATATCTTACTTTGATGAACGGCTTTGGAGAGCAGGGAGGAAGGCAGAAAGCATGATACAGAAGGGGAGAGAACAGATGAGGAATACAAAAGGAAATAAATCTCCAGGAAACCAGAGGAGTAGCAGCAGAACCTTCTGTCATAATTCACTTAATGCAAAATTAATCTTTACTGATGTTCTGCCACATGGTTCACATCAGGCTGCTGATGCATTTTTCACACTTCAGGCAGTGCGGTCTGACTTCGTCCTGAAGGTCCCTCTCTGCTCACTCCAGTGAGTTTATCCCTCACTCCAGTACAATCTTTTTATCACTTTCTTCACCTGAAATAATACGCTCAATTCTAGTTATAGATTTTAAAAATAGTACTTTAAAACACGTAAAGAGTATGTGCACACCTATACTCAAATGCAATGAAAGTCTGAACGCATGAAACATCCTCCGTAGACATAAACTGTATACACACCTTCCTGGGCCACTTCTTTGTCTGAACTTCAAAGCACATAAAATGCTAATGCATTGTCACTATTTTAAGAACTGTGCAAACATATTAAACATTTGTATTTGCGTATTTGAACACACTATAATCTTGATCCTACTAGCCATTTGGCTATTGCTTTCCCACTGCCCTATTTATCTGTCCTGACAACTTTGCTGCTACATCTTTTAGTCACAACTTTTCCGTAATTCTACACACATAATTATTGCAATTGCTTATTTGTACCATACATAGTTTTGACTAGAATATGTGAATATGTAGGTATTTACACATGCATACACATACACTCATACACACCATTAGCAACTGTTAATTTTGTTCAATATGCTAACTTAATTATTAATTAATCTGCCAACTTTACCCTTAAATTGACTCAAATACTCAAATGTAGTGTCTTAACTGAAAGGAAAACCCAGGAGTTTGAAGGAAGTTGACTACTTTTCAAGTGTTTTATTTAAAACATACATATATACTAACACCTAAACTTATTCCCTACAGGTCAAAAACTCATCCTGTTGAAATGAATGGCATATTTAGTTCAAGAGACAAAAGTTCAAATCTTGGTGCTTTGAAATAGTAACCATTTTATCAGGCACTTCAAAAATAAAGGATGCCTCTGTAAACGCAATTATATATGATTGGTATTCTATCTGCAGGATGGATTCACCTTGTGGTTTTTTTTTTTTTGTACTTAAAGCTTTCTGGATAATCAGGTAAAAAACTGGCAGCTCAGCTGAATGACAAGAGAGACATAAGAGACTAAAAATGAAACCCAGAAATATTCTGTGAACATAATTGGTTTGAAGCACTTAGACTGACCGGATTCAGAAATCCTACAGACTCAGCTACACTGTCCACACATTCACTTACATTTCAGCAGCAAATCCGAAACACGTGCTATGAAGAGGAATTCTGTATGAGAAATTACCAACAAGGAACATGCCATGGGCACAGGCTGTCATTATCATCTCTCTCTGCCATTCCTTCTCACTGGCGTTCAAGCACATGGGCAGCATTAGCACTGTAGAACCTTATTTGACAAGCAGTATTCTCTATTTCCTTCCTTTTTTGAACATTCTCTATACTACGCAGCACAAGAAAACTGGAAAGATGAGCGTTCTGCCATCAGCTCATTTCTGGGAAGGTCACTTCAGAATTTTTGCTCCGAATATGTTAAACGTTAAAAACATTTGTACTTAATGCAACAAATGATACACCCTATTAACGTACAGGAGAAACCCAGAAAATGGCACCTCAATATTTTTTTGTGCGTTTTATGCATGTGAGGCTTTTTTGTTTGTTTTTTAACTCATTTACTGCCATCTCCTGGTACTTCCAAGGTAATAGTATTTATGCTATTTAACAGCAGCCAGTACTCCTGTTCAATACTACTGAAATGCCAAAAACTCCTCAGAAATATTTTCAAAATACTTCTGTACTTTTTACATTGCTGTCTTTTATTCTAGAAATAGCAAATATTGTTCCTTGGGCACAAACTGATAAAAGGTTCACATAGCTTACCTTTGTCTGGAAGCAGCAGTAAAGTTGTGTTAGGTATGGATGTTTCCGTGCTAACGCCAGAATTCTCTTTTCTGTCATTGTACAGTCTACATCATCATCTTGAAGTATGACATCTTTCTTCAAGACTTTCACTGCGTATACTTCATCTTTTCCTTTTAGCTCAGCTAACATTACCTAACAAACAGAAATCCAATTTACATATGAACAACAGATATGATAAAGGCAGGGTTGCATATGAGTTTGCACTGGAAATACAAAGACAGTTATATACTTGCCTGATTGAGGTTGTATGTTTACCAAATTAAAAGTAATGTAATTTTAGAAAAATATACATCTGGTATTCTTTAAATTTTAAACAGATGGTATCTATTTTGTTCATTAGTTAAGAACTCACAAGATAAAGAGTTTTTATCCCCTCATTCAAATATCTTAATGAGTGCCTATTAGTGACGTCTCAAAAACTAAAAAAGGAAGGAAGTTGATATAGAACAGAAATTTATTTATTTTCCACTTTTATCTCCCAATTTTGGTAGTGAGATTTGTGTGTGACGAACTTAGTATATGATACCACGTACCATTCCGTCTGCTTTCAAGTTGTTGATTTTAACTACCACTATTGTTTAAGGTTCAAGCCCTACATACTCTGTTTAAGGTCAGTTCTGGCTTGGAGCCAGGGTAATCTTCAGAGAAAGGATTAGAAAACAGCGAGACAAAAGAACTGCTTCAGCCCTGTTCCCCTGCATCTGCAGTTCCCGTATACCAAGGAAGGAAGAGTGTACTTGTGAAACAGATCCACATTTCAGTCCTGCTCTTTGATTCCATAGTGCACAGCACTGTGAAAAGAAAATCTACAAACCCTGTAAATAGAGAAACGCCCCTTCCACCCTCATCAATTCCCTACTGTGGGGAGGTATCTGGTAGCTTTCGTATCTTTGCATATGGGGTATTTTGGGCAGCTATTTAAGCCTCTTGCACTCATCGTATCTGAGTGGAAATGCTTGAGTTCTCCGTCCTCCAGCACTGAACATACCCACTGAGGAAAAAAAAGCACACAAACTGTTCCATGAAATAAGTAAACTTGAATTGGGTATTTTCTAGAAAGGGAATGAACTCAGAACTCCACAGCATTATTCCTGGACTGATTTTTTGTGCTTGACCACAAGTAATTATCTTGTTGGACAGCATGTATGTAACTGTGTGTATGTCTTCATTACCCATATCTTGAAATAGTGCAACGTTGACTTTTGTTTCAAAAGGTTTGACTCTACTTAACAAAGCCAGCTAAACCATAGAAAAAGCCAGCTGATCAGGAGGCTGATATTCCTGATCTGTGGGGTAAAAGCTGCTTTTACTCAATGGGTGAAAGGAAATCCCTACAGTAGAAACACTTTCCGAATGTCACTCTGAACACTTGCAAAGCAGTACAGCCAAAAAAAAGCCTGCACACCAGTAAAGAACAAAAACAAGACAAAGAAACAAAAAAAAAAAAAGCAGCTACCCACCTTGCCAAAGCTGCCTTTCCCTAATACTTTGATGAAGTTGAACTCTTCAAGGCCTATTCGCTTGGTCTGGGCCTGTTTGACCTCTCCATTTTCACCATTCTCCCCAGGTTTGTTAAGCTGGTTGTCTGTTGACGTTGTAGCTGTTGCTCTGTGTTCCTCTCCCCGATTGTCAAATGATAACGCTTTCCTAATGTTGTTTTCCAGCTCTTTGATTTCTGTGGAGATGTGACAAAAAAGTGTCCGTTTTAACTAACCATCAGAAAAAAAACAGCCTGTGTAAGTTTATATCAGTTTTGGGAAGCGACATTCATCATCCTTGACCGCTGTGTAGAGCATTCTGTGGTTATGAATACATCTTCAGCAAACTGCTTCTCCTCCTTACAGTAATCAGGCAAAAACCTGCTCTAACAGGAAGGGCGGACTTTTAAAATGAACCTAAGAGAATGACATATCCAAAACTTGAAAGGTAATTCAGAATAGTACCCAAATAGCCGTTTCAGTGATTTTGGGTGTTTCTGTACTACAGAGAAGTACTTTGGTTTGAATACCCCTATCTTCCTACGGCACTTACTCATCTTCCTGCTTAAGTATTTGAGAGTTGTATCTCCAAAAGTTCAAAGGACAGTTGGGTGCCCCAGTCCTTGAAGTAACCATGAATGGAGCACCTTAGTCAGCTCCAGCTGTTGTCAGACACCTGCCAATAAAGTATTTGACCACTTCCTAGTGCCGCTTCTGACGGCAATTGTGTAGATCTGCTAAATGGCTCTGAAGGTTTCTCCATGCTAAACACAGTGAGTCCTGGTGACTAACAGACCTCGGGGTCTGCCTCAGGCTCTTGCATAGTGCTTCCGCCTGATGGCCTTGGAAGCAACAACTTCGCCTGACAGCTACAAAAGTGAAATTTAAGAGAGAATTTAGACAAATCTGTTGTTCTTATTTTAAGCATAATATCAGGTATTCAAAAAATATTACTTAACCAAACTATCTGTGAAACCAAAAGGCTGATGAGTTTAAATCAGTTCTGGGCTCAGAGTTTTACAGTACTTATTACCATGGAGCTTTGGAATTGTCTTCCCTAAAAATAAGGCTGAGAAATTTCTCAACTGTAAACAATTTTCAAAGAATTTGACACAAAGCATCCATCTTCCTATGTCTTGGTGTAAAGATTTTTCATTCCTCCATTCACACACATGATGGTACATAAGGTACTCAAAGACTTCTGATTTTCAAAACAACAATCAGATCAGATTCAAAACACGCTGCTGATATACACGTTCTGTCAATCAGGCTGTTCGGCTCAATGAAATCAGATCATATCAGTGAAGATTAAAATATTTGTCTCCAAATCCATGTATGAAAAAAATCACTGAAAGGAAACACGGTTTTATGAAGCCTCTAGAGACCACACAGTCGTGGGTAGCACAGCCTAACTGGATGGAAGTTTTTGTTACCACAAATGTCCAACATGGAATTGCAAGGAGGCAATTTTATTTCAAAAACTTATTATTAACAGGTAGAGGCTTTTCGGATAAATAATGGCGCTCTTGAGTTCTGTGGTACTATTTAAAATGTTCTCACTCTTACAATAGAATATATAACTTCCTTACATAAAGGTATTTGGTTAGGCAAGGACTCATCTAGCAAACTTAATAGTTTAAGATGACTGTTCTACAATTTTCCCTTTAAAAGTCACTTAATCTCACAGATGTGAACAAAATGAGAAACAGGCCTTTAAAAAAAGGTTTTGCAGCTCATAATTTTAAGTCTTTCATTTTCTGGTGGTAACTACCTCGCTGATTCAGTTCTACAGAGGCTGGGGCTGATAGCTTTTTTATTCCTCATAAAGAAGGAAAATATATGACCATATGTATTAGTTAGGAAATAAAGAGAGATATTTGACCTTGATCACATGGAGAAGTTGGTGCTGACTTTGATCTATCTTCTTCTGATGATGTGCTTCCAGGAACTGGTTGCTGAGTCTCTGCACCTGCAATTAGCTAAGAACAATTCCAAAAGGGGTACTCAGCTAAGAGATCCTCCCGTGCCAAAAGGAAATTTAATTTAACAACATTAATTCACAAGTAGAGGTATGAAGTCTCCCAGAGACTCTATACAGACTCCAGGTTTGCAAAACCGTAGTAGGTCAAAATAAATTTCATGCCAAAATTCAGAATAGATGATTTGCACTTATAAATCAAACACTAAAGTGTTAGTTCTGTACTGACTTAAAAAAAATTCTTGTGCAAGTCAAGCGAGTGGGATTAAACCCCAACTAGTAAAGTTACAATACAGCCATAAGTATCTTATTTTTTTATGTGACACTATATAGTAAAATTACCTTTTTCCTCCTCTGCCCACTATTAGTGATCTTATCTGGAGTGACTCCAAGATCTGCAAGAACTTTAGCTATGCCTCTAGCATCCACTCCACAGTTTGGTGCCACATTTGTTTCACAGCGTCGATGTACATTCATCTTGCAAACTGCAATGAAATATAAAGTAATAAAGTAAATTAAATACTACCTTGGCATGCATTTGTCTTTCTTAAATCAGACCTTATTGGACCTGCTAATAACTTTTTCAAATAAGTATAATTTCTGTAGAAAAATACTTAGCTGGATTTCCAGTGACACATCAATGCTAATATAAAATTAACAACCTGGTTATCATTCTTCTGCTACGATAATGCAGAACAGTGTTTTCACACAGTACCCAGAACAGACACAGGAAGAAATGAAAATATCTAATGATCCTGTAAATCTTAAATAGAACCTGAATTAGAAGAAAAGTCCTTCAGAGCTTAGATTTTAGCAGTCCACTTCCACTCTCATACTGAGAGCACATCATTAGTTCCTCTTGTATTATTGCTTATTACTGATTATACTCAAGTAGATTAACTCCTAATGTAGGCAGGCAGTTTTAATAAAAGTCTTCGGCACTGTTAGACACCCTGTGTAGAATGGCAATCCATTTATTAAACTCTTTCTCTTAAATACCATCTCCTGCAACTAGTATACTAGTAAGAGGAAAAAAGATTACGCTGCTTCTAGGCTACGGGGTAGCGAGGAGAACACAGCTCCATTAAAAAGAGCATAGCATGCTTCTGTAAGGAGCAAGTGACATTTTTTTGTCTTAGACTTCACTGCCCTCTTGTGGAGCAAGGCATGAAGAAAGCAAAACTGCAAGTGTAGTTAAATACTAGATTAATATTCAATTGCTCGAATTCCTCACTGCATTACTTTTCAGAGAAGCAGCATATTAAAAAATATGTATTTATAAAGCTGCATTTCTTTTTATTGTTCATCAACGATGCTTTCACTGTGTAAGTCCTAAAGAAACAAATCACATTTGCCTCTGGCACTCTACACAGGCTCTGCAGCAGTAGCCATGTGCTTCAGAAAGCGGGTGCCTTTCCTTTTCAAGTACGCTTCAGCTCCCAAGAACGGCAAAAAGATATTGCTACGCATGGGCTTTTCAGTGAGTGTATATTCAGTGACAAGTAAAATGTTTGACCTCGGATCCATAACAGTGGACACTGAGGAACTGAACTGCTTGGATACAGCAAGCAGGAAAATTCTGTACAGTCCAACTTCATCAACTTATGTTGTAAGCAGCAGCACAGGAATAAGCAGTGAAAAAACCAGAAGAATAAACCTCTGAATACACTTTTCACGGTGTTAACCACACTGGGCAAGCAAGTGTATCTCTGAAGAAGGGAACGTTGTTCAGCACTTGTGAAAAGAGAAAACAGAGCACAGAGAAAATGACATTTCCAGCTCAGGTGGATTCTAGATTTCATGCAAATCATACCGCATTTTTATAGGCACTAATTCTATGAAGAGGGAGAAAGCAACACAGGCTCTCTGAATGATTGTTTCTATGCATCTGCTACACAGTAAATGCACATATAAGAAAGTAACATTATTTTCTACAGAGTGAACTAATATATTCACAGATTAAGTTGAGAGATACTATAGCTGTGGTTCAAAATCAAAGAGAAAAAAAAATCAGGTTTAACTGAAACACCTTCTCTGAACATATCTCCATCATAATTAAGATAGCACTTGCACAAAATCTTCAATACCAGTAAAGTAACAGTATTTAGAGACTAACATTTTACCACTGCTCACTAGCTGGAATCACAAGGGAAGGCTTGAACTTCAGAACGCTCTCACTATGTGTCACTTTGCCATGAAAGAAATTTCTTCTTTCCCTTGCTGCTCAGCAATTTGTGACACGAAACATTAGGTCTGACCTTCACCTATAGTTATGTCTTAACTTAAATACTGCAAAGGATATATTTAATAGATTACAGGTTTATACAGATATGTGTGACTCCATGTTTCTGCATTTGAGAAGTGCACATAACATGATTTTTGTATTTATGAAGACGGACCTTCCCATGTAACAAAACGAAAATGCTTATAATTCCATTAGGTACTACTTTCTAAGAATCTGACAATCTTCATGACATCATTCCCATCAACCCACTAATTGAAGTATTTTATTCACTATTTCTAAAACATTGCTTTCCTTTGCAAGTGTTTGTACTGTTTTCTCCCCCATTTAGAATACACAGATCTGCTTGAAAGCAGGAGATATGGAACCAACCATTTCTGTTAGTCAGCTAAAATGACATGCACGAACCTTCCAGCAGTAACCTCATACACGGTTACCGTACAGAGAACACAACCCTTAAGCTGTAGAACATAATGAATCCTTTTTTTTCTGGAATAGAGGGGCTAGGCAGACCACCACAAAGGATGATTTAGCTCGATATCAGAACACCTCATCTTCTGGATATGGGGACACAGGACTGGTTCTACCTAGCCTAGCCAATATGTCATAGGAACGTTTGAAGATGGCATTAAAGGGAGAAGTAGCTGGAATAACGATGTTTAAAAAGTTTATCAACCATCACCACAAACCTGAAAACACAAAAGGTATATAAGCTGAAGGGATGTAAATCCTCATGCTCCTTATTTTCTGTCAACTTCTAGTTTCCTATGCGGCCATAAACCTACACAGCAGCAAGTGCAAAACGTGTTTCTGCATTTCTGTCCACTGCATCTGTTACTGACTGGTGTGGCAGACGGGTAAAGGGCTGCTTTCTAACCATGATGGCAATCCCCACAGCACTCTACTACTTACTTTCTATTCATTTCTGTACATGCTGGAAAAGACAGAATACCTTGAAGTCTTTCCAAGTCTGCAAGTCACTCACAAAGAAAAGAAAAAGCTCTAAAGTGGTAATCCTTACCTTTGCATTGTAAACCTTGTCTCAAAAGACCCCAGAGCAATGAACCACAGTGGTCACAGAAGGTGGGCACTTTGTAATTGTGAATGCTGAACTTGTGAGGCATGTTGACACTGAACC